TAATCCCTAGTACCACCAAAAACAAAACAAAACAAAAACCACCAAAACAAAATAAAACAAACAAAACTCTAAGTATTTTTAAAGCAAATCCCAAATATCATGTCTTTTCAATCACCCCTATATATGCATCTCTGAAAAACATGGGGATTTTCTTACATAGGTTTATGGCCAGTACCACATCTAGCAAAATGAATTATAACACTTAGTACACAAGGAAATTTATCCAATTTTTTTTTTCAGTGCTCTAGGAAGTGAACCTAGGCCCTCATACATGCTAGGCAAGCACTCTACCACTGAGCTAATCTCCACCCCCGCTATTGATTTAAGAATGTCTTTTCTCCGTTGATTTATTCAAATCAGCATCCAATGTCTCTTTGAATCTAGAGTGAAGCCCTGTCCTTAATTAACATTTTAATGCAACTGAAGGTTTGAGGAAATCAGGCCATTTGTCTTATAGGATATCCTAGATTTGTGTGCACATAATTTAGGATAGGCTAAGTTATGCGATGGAAACCAGAAATTTTAAAATTTCTGTGGCTAAAACAATGAAACTTGAATATCCTTCTCTACATCTACCTCAGATTTAATCGTCAGTCTCACTCCCAGAACAAGATTGAGAAAGTAGGTACCACGCTGGGCAAGTAGTTACATTGCTGGTCATCTTAGCAGAAGAAAGGACCTTGGGAGGGTTTCACTCAGGCACTCAAATGCTCAGCCTTGACATCAATTACCCTTCACCTCACTGGCTAGAACCAATGACAGGGCTCTACCCAAAGACCAGGGAGTGTATTTTACCAACTGCAGGGAAAGCACAGATGTGGACATTGGAGTGAGCTGCATTAAAGGCTGCTAGTCTACTTGCTTTCTTGTGGTGTTATTTTCCTTGTTCCACTATTCCTTACATTCCCTGAAAATGGAAGCTAACTGTAGAAGTAAGATTCAAGTCCAGTAACTTTGCCAAGAGTACTTCACAAGTTGGTCAGTGTGCTTCACCTAGTATCACATCATGAAATGTTCATTGTTCATAATAGATCGTAGCAGTAACAGCCCCCTCTCCTCTACACCTCCATGTTTTCACACCCTCAGGTAGACCTCTCTGATCCTTACATGGGGCTCAGACAGGCGACAGGACCTGGAAAACAGGACAAGAGCAAATCTGACACAAATAGAGACTCAAAAGAGTGCACTTTGGGGCTTTCTCCTTTCTTGCTGCTTTTCCGAATGCTGTGACACCACCTGAAAAGGCCTGGCCTAGCTCACTCAAGGATGAAAAATGACTTGGAGCAGAGATGAGTAGTTCCAGTTGAGGCCACCTAGACCAGTCAACAACTACATTATTTAGACTGCACTGCCAGCTGACCAGAGAGATCAGCTAAGCAGAAACAAACTAGGGAGTTGGCCAGCTGATCCATAGAGTTGTGAGCATAGATGAAATTGTTGCTTTAAGCCAGTATGTTTTGGGTGGTCTGTAACACAGCAAAAGCCGACTGATACACTTGGTTAATACACTTTTAGATCAGTAAATCCAGCCTGATCCCTGCAGATACTGATCTACTGATTATTGTCGCCCATACCAAAACAATTTTTTTTGGTTGTTTTGACACAGTGTCTCACTATGTAGCCTAGGCTGGCCTTAAATTCGCAGTGCTCCTCCTGCCTCAGCCTCCTGAGTGCTGGGATAACAGGCTTGTGCCACCAAGCCTGGCTCAAAATTAACATTAATTCACAGGCTTTCTCCTGCAAATAACTTTCTCTAATCTACTTGTGTTACTTAAGTCCCTCTGTTTGTAGATGATAGATATCTAATTCTTTCCTTTTAAATTTTCAAAAGAGATATTTTGCCCTAGATACTTCCCATGGAGTCCAATGAAGGCTTTGATATACTATATGTGTGTGTGTGTGTGTATGTGTATAAAATTTTCTTTCCTATCAATATGAATTGAGTATACTAAGTATAGTTTTAACCAATTGCAGATATTTTTCTTTTGCTTAAATTGCTCTACTTTTGGCCCACCTATTAGCTTCTGTATTCTTTTGACAGGATCCACCACTCTTCACTCATTAATAAGACACTGCCTCAAAGAAAAAAAAAATGGGAGAGGAAGTTATATTGGTATTTTCAATTAAAATTAAACCATAGAGGAATTTACTTAATTTCTTTGATTTTATGCTTGTGCAGTGGACCCTCAAGTTATGACTGGACTGACATACAAACAACTTGGGTCATGACTGGAATTTTAGTTTTAAATTATGACCAAAGTCTGGAGTTACCACTTGAGTGCCAGCCACTTGTACTTCCAGACGGTCTCAGATATAGATTTAACCCTTAAAGAGCTGTGGAAGGAACAGCATAACATCCTTTCCTGTGTGGGGATAATTGAGAAATCCTGGGCCAGTGTTTCTCTAATGATACAGGGATCTACCTGGAAGAAAGTGTGGCCTAAAATTATACAGGAGAGAGACCTCTGAAGGCTGTGTAGAGGAGCCTGACCAACTTGAGTTACAACCAGCCCTCAAGAATGAATTGAGTTCATAAGTCAAGGGTCCATTATATTTCTTATTTACAAACTATAATCTTTTTTTTTTGGTACCGGGGATTGAACTTGGGTCCTTGTGCTTGCGCAGCAGGCAGTGAAACCACTGAGCTAAATCCCCGGCCCTATAATCTTGATTTTTAGCCACCATAACACAGTAACTTATTTGCATTATCCAACAACATATGGGATATTAAAAGTTTCAAAATAAGATATTAATTAACTAAATGAAGACTAAGATTTTTTTGTAGCTCTACTTGTCTCTACCTCTAAAATCTGTATTAGACTTCTCCAGAGATGGGCTGGGCATGGTGGTGCATTCCAGTAGCCCCAGCTACTTAGGAGACTAAGGTTGGGGGATGAGCACATGAATTAAGAGACCAGCCAGGGTAACACAGTAAGACCCCATTTCCACCAAAAAAAATTAAGAAAGAATTCTCTCAAGAGAAACAAAACCCACAGAATACATATACACATATATGAAGGCAGAGAGAGATATTTACTCACGGAAGCTAGTGAGTTCAAGTCCCAAACCTGCAGGGGGCCTGGAGACCCAGGAAAGGGCCAGTGTTGTAGGTCAAGGCTGCAGGCCATCTGCTGGCAGAATTCCTTCTTGCCAGGGACCTCAGTCTTTGTTCTGTTGAGGCCTTCAACTGATTGGATTAGGCCACCCACATTATAGAGAACAGTCTGTTTTAAACTCTACCAGCTTAATGTTTATCTTATTAAAAAAAAAAAAAACCCTCATAGAAACATCCCAAATAATGCTTACCTAATATCTGGTTATCATGGCCCAGCCAAGCTGACAAATAAAATTAATCATTATAGGGCCGGGGATTTAGCTCAGTGGTTTTGCTGCCTGCTGCGCAAGCGCAAGGACCCGAGTTAGGGCCCCGGTACCAAAAAAAAAAAAAAATTAATCATTATAAATATATTGTGACGTAGGTTGAATTATGTCTCCCACAAGATATGCTGAAGTCCTAACACCTGGTACCTGAGAATGTGATATGACTTGGAAACAGGGTCCCTGCAGGTGTAACTAGGTAAGACAAGGAGCCAGGCCTGGTGGCACCCACCTATAGTCTCAGCACTTGGGAGGCTGAGGTTGGGAGATTTCGAGGAGTTTGAGGCCAGCCTGGGCTAGTAGAGCGTTCAAGACCAGAATGAACTACAGTGAGACCTTGTCTCAAAAAAAAACAAAACCAAAATCAAAACCAAATAAAAGAGAAGACCATACTGGAGGAAGGTGGGCTCTTAACTTCCTAGTTTCACTATAATACAGGATGAGAAGATATAGAGACATATACACCAGAGGGAAGAGGATGTGAAGATTCATGCAGATGCCATGCGACACTGGAGTAAAGACCAGAGCTGTGGTACCCTAAGCCAAGGACTGTGCGATACTAGCAGCCAAGGAAAAGGGATGGGACAGGTTCTTGGAGCCTCTAGAAGCAAGGACCCTGCCAACACCTTGGTTGTGGACCACAGGCCTCCACAACTGTGAGAAAATAAATTCTTTGGCTTAAGTCACCAAGTTTGTGATACCTTGTTCCAGGAACACTAACAAACTAATGGAGACTGTATAATTATCTTTTCCTGAATGCTTATTTTACCAACTTGTGATAAAGTTAGGTTAATTCATTTTCAATATTTTAGAATTGCTTTTAATTGTTGGGTATACTAGTTAATTACGTTTCCAAAGTCAAACTATACAAGGAGATATACTCAGAGAAGTCTTATTTTTACCAATCTGTCCAACCTTGTTCCTTGCCTCTTCAAAATAACCAAAAAAGGACCAGGGGTTTAGCTCAGTGGTGCCACCGCCTGCCTCGCAAGAGAAAGGTCCCGAGTTCTATTCCCGCTACCAAAAAACCCAAAAAACCAAAAACAAAATAACAACAACAAAAAAAATGATATCAATAATGGTTGTCTGGGGTTTTTTTGTTTGTTGTTTCTTTTTTTTCTGGTACGGGGGATTGAACTTAGGGCCTTGCACTTGTGAGGCAGGCATGGTGCCACTGAGCTAAATCCCCGGCCCCAATGATGGTTGTCTTTGGGAAATACAATTGTGTGTTTCCTTACTCTTCTCTGAAGTTTTCAAATCAGAACAAAATTTTAAAAACAAAAATCATGATTTGTTTTACAAGGCCCTAGCTCAGGTTCTACAACATCAATCAAACCCTCCCATAGGTACTTTCTCTTTGCTCAAGTCTTACATTGTTTACCGTCTATATTGCTCACTTAGCCTTTTGCATCAATCAATAAATTAAAAAATTAATGCACTGAGATCTGATGAGCACTTTATTAGATGCTGAGGGGACAACATGCATTATCAGTTAAATTTTCCCATACTTCTTTGATTAAGCTGTATACTGAAGCCACAGTGTCCTTACATCTTCCACTGCTGATTGAGGAAACAGGAATTTCTTTGCCCAAAACAGTGAATAAAATACAAATAAAAACAGATACAGGTTGATAAATCCTTTTAATAAAGTATATCAATGACAATTTTAAAATACATACATTACTAAAAAATCACGTAAGAGCATCTTTTTGTAATTACTAAGAAAAATTTAAGACTACTGTTCCCTCTGCAGAAATGTTATGCACAGATGCAAAATGATCGAAGGCTGACAGAATAATGACTCTCAAGTAAGTAGCATTCCCATCATGTGCCTGTAGGGGAAAAAATCAATATGGATGCTCTTAGCAATCCTAGTTAGCTGCTAATAAGCAGTTAGCAGAAGAAAAGATTTGATGCAAGAGTAACATTCTAACTGTATAACAATATGTAAGATATCATATTCAGAAGGCAGCCCAGCCTCACATAACAGTTGTTCTGGTGCCTATCAGCAGGATATCAGCCTTAGTTTTATGAAAAACAGCAGGAGGGCTACACTTTGCAATTGTACGCTCTAATCAATTTTTTTAAAGAGTCTTTCTAAAGTCTTTTTCCTGATAATAAGTTTCCCTTGGTTAATGATGCCTCAGAATGTACTTCCCTGAAGCATACTATACTTCCACATTTCTATAATTTCTCTGGAAAGCAATTTGGCAATGTATGTAAAAAGCTATAAAAATGTTTATATCCTTGCACCCAGTAACTCCATTCCATGAAATTTAATCTTAGAAAATAATAAAAAAGGTGAAGGTCATGGTAGCAAGAACATGCATAAAATGTCTCCTATGTATTACGTGTAATGACAGAGGGAGAAAAAAGGAAGTTAGCTTAAATGTATGCAAACAGACAAATGTTATCTTATAATTATGAAGGTTGTGATATAATATTAAGTTAGAAAAAGATGAAAGTTGGCTGGGTGCAGAGGTACACGTCTGTAATCCCAGCACTTGGGAGCCTGAGGCAGGAGGATCACTCTGAGTCTGAGGCCAGGCTAGGCTACATAGTGAGTTCAAGACCATGGGCCAGGGATTTAGCTCAGTGGTTCCAGCACCTGCCTTGCAAGCACAAGGACCCGAGTTCGATCCCTGGTACCAAAAAAAAGAAAAAAATTTAAAAAAAGACCAGCCTGCATTACAAAGCAAGACCCTGTCTCAAAAAACCAAAGAAAAAGAAAAAAAAAGATACAAAATTGTTGACACATAATTACTGCAACTATGCACGTGTGTGTTGACTAGAAGAAAGCAAGTACTGTAAATATGCTGTGACAGAGCAACAAAATGATGGGTGACTTCCAGGTTCCTCCCCATTTCTGCTTTCCAGATTGTCTAGAACTCTCTGCAACCTAAGTGAGTCCTGAGAGAAAAAACTGAAGAAAGCAGAACTCACGAACCACAGCCCACATGGTGAAGATGGAGAAAAATAAGAAGGCAGAATTCAGCATAATCATTTTTTCTGGACCCTGATGGCTTCCCCAATCATTGGGCAAATTTTGGTGGGAGAAAAGGAAATTAGGAAGATTCAAAAACTTTCCTACAGTAGGCCTGAGTTCAAGGCCAGCCTGGGCTACACAGTGAGCTCAAGGCAGCGAGATCCTGTCTCAAAAACGGAAAAAAACGAAAAACTTTCCTACAGCATCACAGCAGCTCTTAGCAAGATGTGAAGTAAATTCAGTGAAAAAAGCATCACTTTAACCCTCATGTAAGCAAACACAAACACCTAAGAAATACGCATTCGGTTGTTTATGCTTTTGCTTGTATAAATCGAGGGAGCAGAGGAGCTCATGATGAAGCAGCAGTTTCCCACCAGCAGTTCATTCCACTGGTTGAGCAAAGCCGGTGGGATGCTGTCGGAATGGAACGTGCTGGCTCTCTCCACTTCAGCCCTTACTGACTCATTTGTGGTTGATTCTATTCCCCATTTCTCCTCATCCAAATCTCCCTGTCTTTTCACTTAAATTAACAATCCACTTTTGACATTTCGACCTTCTTGGATTCCTATCCTAAATGAAAGAAAGCAAAGCTAACACACACTTTCAAATAAATGAGTAAAGTGAAACAAGAAATAAGTAAACTAATTCTGTTTTCTCTTTGCTGTCTCCTTTCTATGATGAGCAAGAACCTAATTTACAGTGGTCAGCTTCTAATACTTGAGAATCACCTCTCTACTGGTTTATTAGTTTTAGAACCTATTATACCATGAGGATGTGTATTAATTCTGGGACTACAGAGATGTATTTAAAATCTAAATACATTGTGCTTGCTAAGGATAATTTTCATCTCTACAAAGTATATTTACTTACCATAATTTCCTCATTTTGAAGTTGTCCCTCTGTGTGCACTAAATCTACAACACAAATTTAACAGACATGAGTTAATGCTCAGAATACACAAAGACAGCTACTGAAACTTACAGTCAGCAAAACATGATTATCTGGTAAACTATAAATTAAAATCAGATTTTAAAAAAATTATCAGCATTTGGAGGTTGAAATGTGATATACAAATAGAGACATCTGATACAAAAAGTAAAAAATAAAACTATGATATATAAAATATATCTAGTGGGTAAAAGCAAAAGACAACGCAAATACAAATTACAGTAAAGGAATACAAATTGAGGAATTTGTAAAATCAAGGGAAAATCCATTTTATGGATCAAACCACTAACAGTAATGACAAGCTTGGAAGGAGCCACTTTACCACCCTTTGGAGTAATAGCACAGCTCTGGGTCTCAGGGAATTGTCACTATAACGTGGAATTCTGTGGCCTGTGAAGTAATCCTTTCTGGTACCCAAGTTTTAAAAACCTTTGGGTCGGGGATTTAGCTCAGTGGTTCTGGCGCTGGCCTCAAAAGCGCAAGATCCCGAGTTCGATCTCCAGTACCAAAAAAAACTCCTTTACTTATTTAATGGTATGACAGATTAATTCATTTGGTTAAGAACTAATCATATCAAACATTCTTTTGGAAACATGAACTACTTAATCATCTGATGACAGCTATTGAAATTACTCAATATTAATTTTACTTGTATCAAAATAATATACACAGGGGGCGGGGATTTAGCTCAGTGGTTCCACTGCCTTCCTCGTAAGTGCAAGGACCCGAGTTCGATCCCCGGTACCAAACAACAACAACAACAACAACAAAATACACACACACACATACACACACACACACACACACACACACACACATAATTTTTTTATTTTTTTGAGACAGAGTCTTGCTATGTAGTCTAGGCTGGCCTCAAATTTTCAGGAGTCTCCCTGCCTCAGCCTCCCAACTGCTGGGATTACAAGTGTGCACCATCACACACAGCCCAATATACATAATTTGAAAAGCCACACAGTACTAAAAGGGAAGTCTCTGGGAAGTAAGATTGAAGGATGACTTTCTTTCTACTTCCTGAACCTTCTCTGAGATAATAAAAAATAGTAATTCCTGCCTCACCTTTCACTCTCCTCCAGGCATGGCCCAACAATAAGCATTTCAAATCTTCATGCTGTTTTTCCTGGAATTTCAATAAGATTATATTCTTTTCCTTATTTATCAATTTCTTTGACTTTATATTATGATAGGTGAAAATTTAGGTTTTGTCTTGCAGTGATTGGGATTGAGTCTTGGGAGTTCATCTCTAGCCCTTTTTAAAATTTTTATTTTGAGCCGGAGATTTAGCTTAGTGGTGCCAATGCCTGCCTTGAAAGCACAAAGTCCTGAGTTCTATCCCCAGTACCAAAAAAAATTTTTTTAATTTTGAGACAGGGTCTTTCTAACTTGTCTAGGTTGGCCTCAAACTTATCATTCTCTTGCCTTAGCCTCTTTGGTGGATTAACTAATGGTCAACTGGGAATGCCCAGCTGAACTGAGTCAGCGTGGTCTAGATGTGGAAGATCCACCTGAGGATTGTTGCCAATAGCATAAAAAGAGAACTGGAGGGGAAGATCGTTGGCTGTTGATTTTCTTAGAGAAGCTTGCAGAGGGTGGTTTTCCTGATGTGAACTTGGCTGGTCTCATTGGAGGAGTTCGGGATCTCACTGTCGCTGGGAATGGCTGCTGTTCTCATCAGGGAGCTCTGATCTTTGTCATAAGCATCACTTCCTGGCTCCAGTGCAGATCCCTCAGCCTGGTGGCACAGATCCTTTATCCCACTGGCGAAGCCTTTCTAGCTTCCACCACTGGCTTTGGGGCCTCCCCAGGGCAGATCCTTAATTCGGACAAGCTTGAGACACTGCCGTGGGCTCTAGGCCACTGGCTAGACTCATGGAGGACAGTGCCTTGGACTCTAGGCCTTCAGCTGGACTTGTGAGGGACATTGCTGTGGGATCCAGGCCCTTGGCTGGATTCTTTGGGTCTTTAGTGCAAGGCTAGATCTCATGTACTCCTCTGCATTTGACTTTATGGGTGACTATTATAAAATAATCCCATAAATTATGTGTCCTGTATTAAATTTATTTCTGTTGCAACCCCTGACTATAGTAGCCTTCTAAGTAGCTTTTGTTACAGGCATGCACCCCTGGGAATGGAAAAATTTAGACTTTAAAAATTTTTTTTGGGGGGGGTACCAGGGATCGAACTCAGGACCTTGCACTTTCGAGGCTGGTAGTGGAACCACTGAGCTAAATCCCTGGCCCCCTAGACTTTTTTTTTTTCAGACAAGTTCTCACTATGTAGCCCAGGCTGGCCTTGAACTCATGGCAATCATCTTGCCTCAGCCTCCTGAGTGCTGGGATTACAGATGTGCACCACCATGCCTGGCTAAAAATTTAGATTTCATAAACCAATACCCACTTCCTCCTCCTACAAGTTTTCCTTCCTCTCATCCTCTCGATTTTTTTTTTTTTTTTGGTTACCGGAGATCGAACTCGGGTCCTTGCACTTGCGAGGCAGGCAGTGGAACCACTGAGCTAAATCGCTGGCCCTCATCCTCTCGATTTTGAAATCAATCTTGATAGTTGATTATTATGCCTATATAAATGTTTTGTTTGTTTGTTTGTTTTTTTGGTACCAGGGATGGAACTCAGGACCTTGAGGCTGTGAGGAAGACATGGCACCACTGAGTTAAATCCCCAGCCATGCCTATATAAATGTTTAGTAATGAAATAAGTAAAATTATCTCATTTTCTTATATAACTTCTCCATCAGAAATTAATAATAACCTCTTTTTCATTGGCTGGGTATTTTTTTTTAGTTGTGTAAAACTAGAAAATCTCAAATATACATGAAAAACAGAAAACAGTAACTTTCATATATAGTTGTCACATTTTATAATTATTAACATTTCAGCATGATTGATTTCTTCAAATTTTTTTGGTACTGGGGATTGAACTCAGGACCTTGGGTTTGCGAAGCAGGCGAGGGGCCACTGAGCTAAATCCCCGGCCCTTAAATTTTTTGCTAAAATATTTTAAGGTAAGTCTAAGACATGACATTTCATCTCTAAGTATTTTATCCATCTTTAAATATAGGATTTTTTTACATAACTACAAAATTATTATCATACTAATATCAAAAACATTGCCTTAAGCTGGGTGTGATAGCACATGCTTATAATTCCAGCACTCGGGGAGGCTGAGCTGGGAGGATTGTAGTGAGTTCTAGACCAGCCTGGGCTACACAGTAAGTTCAAGGCCAGCCTTAATTACATAGTGAGACTCTGTTACAAAACAAAACAAATGCTTTAATACCTAATCCTTATTCAAATTTCCCCAATTATCCCCCAAATGTATTTTTATTATTAGTTTATTCATATTAGAATTAAGTACAGTAAGTCCCCGACTTACGAACATTCAAGTTGTGAACTTTCACAGGTGTACTGTATAAGACTCACTTTGTCAGCTTACGAATGAATCTGGCTTACGAATGAATCCGACTTACAAAAAATTCTTCCAGAACAGAACTCATTCATAAGTCATGGACTTCCTGTCTCTTTTAATCTTGAACCATTTTTTTCTCCTATACACACAATTTTTTTTTCAGGTCAGTTGTCCTGTAAATGTCCTAACGTTTCTAAACTTTGTCATCTTGCCTCATGTAATTATATCCTCTGTCTTCTACTTCCTGCAGACTGGAAACCAGAGTTAAAGGAGTTAAAGGCTTGATCACATTCAGGGTTTGAGGCCTTCACTTAGCGGATGATGACCTTGGCTGTGTTTTGTTACTTATGAATAATAAATCATTTGAAATTGCAGGAGCTGGGGCTGCTGAGTGGCAGACCTCAACAGAGCGACCAGGGGAGAGTGGGCCTTTGCCAGCATCCACAGACCTTTTTTTGGGGGGCCACTCAGCTTCTCCAAAGATGAATCCTTCATGTCCTAGTTGGGTTCACACTCTTAGTCGCTGTCATTAGTAGTGAAGCACAGGAAGAAGGCTGGAGTTCCTGCTGCTGGATATGCAGGCTTCCACTTCAACGCTCTGACTCAGCCCCATGTCTCACTCCATTTCCCCTGCTCTCTTGGGTCCTGAGCCTCAATACTGTACTCAAGGTACCTCATCATCTCCTGTGGCCATGGCAGTCTGTGGGGAAGGAGTGGTTACCTAGCTTCAAAAGGTAGGAGAAGGCATCTAGAGTCCAGCCACTCTGTAGGTACTCAACTAATCACCCTTCTTTTCTGGCCCATGTCTCACACTTTGGACAAGTTCTAGTGTTTTCCTTCAAGTTCAAGACCTTCATGGGGTTCTATGTAAACTGGCTTGCTGACACTTTCCTTGGCAGGCTCTTAGGTTACAACCTAGTCCATTCAGCTTTAGAAGTTCTTGGTTTCCCTCTGTCGTAATATATATTAATCTCACCAGACTTGGTGGTACAGGCCTGTAATCCCAGTACACCGGGAGGCTGAGGCACGAGGATGGAAAGTTTGAGCCAAGCCTGGCCAACTTAGTGACTTTAGGGAGACCTTGGTTCCTTGTTTAATTTTTTTGTCCTTGGAAGTTTATGCCTTTTTTAATTTCTTTACTACAATTTTCATGGCACAGTATTTTGTGAAGGAAAGGAGATGGAAACATTGGAGGTAATATGGTTATGCTTAACTGGATGCTACCAATTCCACTGATGATTAAGTAAAGGGCTATTAGTTAGGAAAGAAGAAATTAATGAGAAGCTAATATTTATTGTTTATTTATCATATGCCAGCCACTAGCTCACAAAAGCCTCAGTGGTAGGTATCATCTCTACGTTTCTGATCAGGATTCTGAAATTCTAAAAAATTAAGTAATATATTAATTATATAACCAATACCATGGTCTTTACTCAAAACTGGGTTTTCCTGGACCCTAACTAGGTCACAAGAATCACTTTTTATTCATCAAAATGCACCTGGATTAAAAAAGTAGAGACACTGAGTTCGATCCCTGGTACCAACAAATAAACAAAAAGAAAAGTAGAGACAGAGGGCCAGGGCCTTAGCTCAGTGGTGCCGCTGCCTGCCTAGCAAGCGCAAGGTCCCAAGTTCAATCCCCAGTACCAAAAAAAAAAGAAAGAAAAGTAGAGACAGGGAATAATTCTCTCTTCCCCCATTTCAGAATGATGCTGGTGAAACAAGCACATACCTTTTTCAATCCACTGCTCAAATCCAACAGGCTCTTTAGATGTGCTCTTTTCCAGCCTCAAAGTCCGTACTGAAATAAACAAGGTAAACAGGTCGTTAATCACCTCCTGGTGCTAAGCTGTGGGCCTTGCTAGGTATCTTTTTCCCTTTGAATGAAACTGCCCTGCATTGGTGGAACTACATAGAATACTGGGATCAGGAATGCCATGTTCTGGAAGTTACCTACTCTTCTTCTCCATAAATTCCGATGGGAAAATGTGGTCTTGTGTAATGGTGATCCTAACAATGTTTGTAACCATATAACACAAAGCTAGCAGAGCTTTTTAAAATTTGGTTATTATCTGGAATTTTTTATGTACTGGTAATAATAATGACACTATTAATGGTCTCAATCGTAAGCCCTTATGGAGGAGCTACTATGAGTCATGAGGTTTTATTCCTTCGCTGTTGACTACAGTCTTAGGAGAAAGGTACCATGAACCTACTGTAGTTATGACACACATTTGGAGAGGAGGTAAGGCGTTCAATGAGATAGTACACACCAGAACTGGAACTGGAACTGAAACTCGAGACCTATTTGACCCTGGGACCTCTGCACTTAATGACAGAAATCAGGAGCTATACCAGGCATGTAGTTATCTTCTTGCTGCACTGGGTTTTCTCCTTGTTCCCCACCCAGTCCCTCAAATTCTAAATCCATCCTCTACTCTCTGTCCTTTTCTGTGGCCTGATGGACTTACACACTGGCTTCCTGGAGGGCAGTGGGGGGAAATGAGATCAGGCTGTCTCCACCCCTCCCTGCTTCAGTGCCAGGTCCTTGGCAGTCATAGTTCTGTCCCTCATGACTACAGCTCTCCCTGGGCCTGGCCACAGGCCCCACCTCTCAGTGGGGCCACTGATTCCCTCCCTCACCCCAGGGCAGTCCAGGCTTCTTGTGTAGCTAGTTTCTCAGGGTCTCGTCATCCCTTTTTTGTTCCCTCAGCCCAGGCCATAATTTTTTAAGTAGACCCATCAGTAAAATCTTCTCCTCTGAAACATCTAGGATGTATTCTATTTCCTGTCTTGATTTTATCTACCGTACTTTATCCCCAAATAAACATAGGATCAGAATAATGTTCCAAAGGGAGATTCCCCTTCAAAATCCCCAGAAAAGGTCATTAGCAACAGAAGAATCAAAACTATTCAATGTGAACAATCAGGGTTATCAGATTTTCAGAAAGAATTTGACTATGAACCCCAAGTCAAAAAAATTGAGAATGAAGACATCATGGAGCCTAGTGTTTTTGCAAGCTAGTTTCCTATGTCAAAGACTTCCATGTAGTAAACTGCATGGAAATTATTACACAGTTTGAAAGGATTTCAGACTTACAGTTTCAGAGAGGCTAATTGTGCTGAAGGCAATTAACCCATAATCCTCACCCTCGCATTCCAGCAATAAAATCAGATTCCATGCTGTAAAGAAAAACTAGTAGTGCTTTGCCAAATGTTTACATCTGTGCTCTCTGCCAATCAAAAAATTAAACTAAGATAAAAATTAATGCATCATTTGCTTACCTAAGTAACTCTGGATTACAAGCTTTTCGATTTTTACATGTTTGTGAAAACAAATAACGAACTCCTGGGGAAACATTCCTGTGGTGGTCCAAAATGTTTCTGCATTCCTATTGTTAATTTTAAAGAAAAAGAAAAAGAAACAGTCAAATATAAAAATTTAATCACAAAATTCTAATGAATAAGTTTTTTTTTTTTTGGTACCAAGGATCGAATTCAGGTCCTTGTGCTTACAAGGCAGGTGACAGAACCACTGAACTAAATCCCCAGCCTGATTACTGGATTTTTACAATCCCTTTCTGTTAACTGTCTCTGATCTTTCCCCAACTTTAATAATTCTTTGCTACTACCACATAGTCTCTTCTGAAAGACAGGAACAGAATTTGTGTCACTCCTGTCCACAAGCCTTCAGTGGTTTCCCCCTTTTTTGGGGGAGGTTGAGACAAGGTCTTGCTATGTAATTCAGGCTGGCCTTCAACTCAGTATGTAGCCCAAGCTGGCCTCAAATTCACAGTGATCCTCCTGCCTCAGCCTCCTGAGTGCTGGGATAATAGGCATGCGCTACCACACTTGGCTAGTGGCCCCTTATTGCTTATACATCTAAACTCCATAGTATGGCATTTATTTTTTTTGTATTAAATTCTTTTATTGGTACATTGTAGGTATACAAAACAATTACATTTCTCATTGGGAATTGTACCTTTACATAATGCATCTTGGTTCTTATTTTTTCCCCATTCCTAGCCCTCCC